TTACAATTAATTTAAATGGGGTATTAATATCTGGATCATAAGTGTTTTTGTATGATGTTTTTCCACCAAATGGAGAAAAGGCTTTTGTCAGTCTTTTGTTGAAATCATTCAGTTCTCTTTTTATTATAGCATTTAACAGAAATATAATCTCTATCTTGGTAAATTATAAGCTACTTCAGGGCTGTGAGAGGTTTCTTATTCTTTCATTCTTGTGCATGGCACCTAAAAGGACTAACTCAGCACTCAGTAAATGTTTAATAAAATGAATTATTTGGAAAATTAGTCCATATATGAGGCTTGTTTGACCTTTGACATTTGCATCTTCAGAGTCAGAGTCATTTTTTGTTAAGTTTCCCATTAATATGTGGAGCAAGTAGGTTAAAAAAATCGGTTTAACTTGTTTCTGACCTAAAATGTCCTAATTTGGTTACTGGTTTTCTTCCTTTCTGACAGACAGTTTGTCACAGTCTGTTGGTTATCCCTGCCCGAAGCCAGAGCTTTGACATCGTGCAAAGTGCCATCAGTAAGCATTTGGTAAATATACTTTTAAACTTTTTTTTGTTACACAGAAAAGCATATAGATTCATTGATTAAGATTAGGTTTATCATAGCCCAGGAGAGAGTGAGAATCCGGAATCCTAAACTCAGTAACCTCTCACACTCTGATGCTATGGTGAGAACTGAGAAATCTTGCTGTTTTTCCTGACTGTTGTTGCTAATTAATTTTTGAACTTGGGAAAATTGCCTGTTACCAGGACCTTACTTTCTATTTCTACATCTGTGCAATAAAAGACCTTAAAATTATGCCTCAGGTCCTTCTGACTTGTAATGCTCTAACATGTGCCTGGTGTTAGTGTATTGAGAATCCAGTATCCAGACTGGGATCTAATTTCCACCCAGAACATTTGGGGTCTAAAGCAAGCATATCAAACTCGTGGCCGACAGGCCGCATATTTGACATGCTTGGTCACAGCCGTTCTCAACCTGTGGGTCGCGATCCCTTTGGCGATTGAACGACCCTTTCACCGGGGTCGCCTAAGACCATCCTGCATATCAGATATTTACATTACTATTCATAACAGTAGCAACATTACAGTTAGGAAGTAGCAACGAAAATAATTTTATGGTTAGGTCATAACATGAGGAGCTGTATTTAAAGGGCCAGAAGGTTGAGAACCACTAAGTATAGGGAAGTCACCTAACTGGCTCAAGGCCTGGTCACTGGAGGCAGTGAGCTCAGCCATGAGACTTATCTTCTGGCCAATGAGTGTCTCTTGTTCCCATTGGTATTAAATTCACATTAGATAGGCTTGGGTTTTGCTTTCAATTTCCTCCAACATTTACACTTTGAATTTCGGCTTTTTATTATAAGAATGTATTATAGTACAAGAGAGAGATCTGAAATTTTATCTTCCAGAGACTTTATTTGCATAATTTTATAGGCACATCCACACCTCCTCCTTTAAATGTTATTTCCCTTGAGTTGGAAGAATACTGCTTTGTATTCTCATTACTGTTTTTCTGCCTGCTATCAACTTTTAATCCTTATCCCTTTTGTCTCCAAAGATCCCCCACCTTGTGTTTTTTAAACCTCTGGTCCAGAAATGTATCCCCTCCTTTGACTATATTCATTATCCTCGTAAAAGCTCAACATACAAGTCAGTCTAGGCCAGTATTTTCAGACAGCTTGATGGAAAGGTTAAGACTTCAGAGCCTGTAAACTTTTTTAAATGATCATCCAACGGTAGTTTCTAGGAGATTTAAACTATGTGTATATATATAGTTACAAGTTAGAGCCCACCTTACAGTTTATAAGTAGAATCCAGATTAATTAGGATTCCATGATCTTTACCGGGGGTTTGGGGCAGTGTAGCTATTGAGTGTTAAGTAGTAGTTTCTTGATTCCGTTACTTAGTCATGCCTGAATGACTAGCAAAATCAAAGGACAGGGGAAGGGTAATTGCAAAATGAATTCTGTTTTGTATATTTAATGACCTGGGATGGGGTTGGTGCCAGATATTAGTGTTTTCCAGTTTGGATAACCTAAAGATCAGGTAAGTGTGCTTGTTGGTATCAAGATTTTCTTTGGATGCATGAAATAATCCTTTTGAATAATGGTATTTCTAACCATTAGTAGACATTGTAATATCTGGAAAGTTTTAGAAGACTTTGTCATGAGAGGAAGCAATGGATTGGGTTACTAATATTTCTTGAGTTTGCATGTTTTCAATATATTTAATGTAGAGATTAAATTCTCAGAGGGAAATAGGACCTCAAGGTGTGGCAGGTGGCATGCATTCTGTACGTACTCGTTTTCAGTAGAAGTGTTGTAAGGTTAACCCTCCAGTTAATAGGATTTGGTTTATCCTGGGAAAGGGCTATTGTGTAGATGTCATTAACCTCATTTTCCTCTGCCTAGGTTGGGTTCACTGTAATTCCTGACAGCACCGCTGGCTGTGTTTTGGGTGTTATCTGTAGGCTCCTGGATCACACATGTGTACTTAGTGAGACTCTGCTGCCGTTTCTGGCTTCCTGTTGCTACAGTCTTCTGTATTTCCTGCTCACTTTAGAGAAAGGAGAAGCAGAGCATCTAAGAAAGAGGTAATAATTTTTTATTCTTCAATTTACATTCTTCTTTTACCTGTTCCACTCTCCCCATCAATCATTCAGTTTTAAAAAATTGCGAGTGAGAGAGAATTGGATTTTAGAAATACCCTAAAAGCTCTTTCACAGTTTGTATAAACCTAGCTAGTTTTTTCTTTTTCTTTTATATTGAATTTATTGAGGTGACATTGGTTAATAAAATTATATAGATTTCAGGTGTACGATTCTACAATACATCATCTGTATATTGTATTGTGTGTGAATTACCCCAAGTCAAGTCTCCTTCCATCGCCAGAGCTTTTTCTTTGTCCTTTCATGAATCCCCTTTGTGGTTTGATAATTTTTCATTTTCAGAATTTCTTCTTTTAAGCAAGAGATTTGAAAAGTTAGATAGCATTATAAGTTTTGAGAGCTTTCTTTATTAACCTTGCTACCTTTAGAAGGATGAGTTTACTAGTACAAGCCTTTGTGTTTTGCTCTGGGCTTCATTAGAAATAGCCAGAGTGGAATTTTAAATTCTTGAACTTAAGGAAATTGTTCTAAAATACTAGTGTTTTAATTAGTCAGTACGTTTGTTCCCATGTGAAATTCGGACTAAAGCTTCTAGGATAGTTTGGAATATTTCACTGTAATTTTTTAAAAGTGTTTTTCATGCCTATGTCCTTATTGGTATGCCTATTAAAATTCATTGCAGGAAGTTTTGGGTTTTTTTTAATTAATCAATTTTTATTGTTGAGATAATTACAGATGTCCCTCCTTTTTTCCCCATAGCTCCCCTCCACCCGGTTCCCACCCCACCCCAGGCCCTCGCCACCCTATTGTCTATGTCCATAGGTAATGCATACATGCATATAAGATCTTTGTCTAAGCTCTTCTGAATGTGTTGGCTCACTGACTCATTTTTGTTGCTTCTTGTAGGGACAAGCTGTGGGGGGTCTGTGTCTCGGTCCTGGCTCTCCTGCCTCGAGTCCTCAGGTTGATGCTGCAGAGCCTGCGAGTGAGCAGAGCTGCCCCCGAGGAGCTGCCTGTTGTGGGCCAGCTGCTTCGCCTGCTGCTCCAGCACGCGCCCCTCAGGACTCATATGTTGACCAATGCCATCTTGGTGCAGCAGATCATCAAGAATATCACGGTGAGAGCATGGAACAAAGGCTTCGTATTGTTAGTGCTAGAAGGGATTCATGGGCAAGGCATGGGGGTGCACCGGGTTCCTGTGCATTGATTGACCAAACTCTTGGAATCAAGCCCAGTGGTGATTTCCCAAGGTTTCTCCTGTAGTCTAGTCGCTTAACCTATGGGATTTCCTTAATCCCAAAATTGGCCATAAAAGCCTTAAAATACTTAAACTGAATAAAGGTGCAGGCAGCTTAGTTGGAAAAGGTACAGCCTCGGAGTCATCACTGCCTGGATCTAACAGAGACTGGTGATTAACTGTGATCGTTGGATAAGTTTGTTTTTAAACCTTAGCCAAGCTTGTTTTCATAGGTGTAGAAGTGGGACTAATAGTAATTTTGTTGGGTTTTGGTGACCATTAATGAGATTAGCCAAGTAAAGTTTTTAGGTAGCTGACATGTATAAATTCACCAAATGTTAGCTGTCATTAGGAAATTATTTAGCAGAAATAAACTTCAGGCTAATTTCTAGTTGGTTCCCCGGAGAGTAAGAAGTTGGAGAAAGGAAGTTGTAGGCTTCAGCTTTGCCTAATGGTTGGTTGTCTGTGTTCAGTTGTGTGTGTGTTTTTCAAGGGGTGGGGGCAGTTCTGTTACCAGATTCCTTTGGTGTTTTTAGTTGGGAAGAATTCGGGAGGTTTTTTTTTTGGGGGGGGGGTTGTTATAGATATTTGGTTGGGGGAGTTTATTAGTATATGTAATAGTAATTCAGAAATAGTAGAAGGTTGGACAATCAACCCACCTCCATAAGGAAGAAATGACAAATTGTTGTCTGCCCTGGACAAAGATCAAGGGACTCCAGAATACCAAAGGGAGGAAGTCCAGTGTAGGGATGGTGGGTGATGAAATTTCATCAGTCCCTAGCATCTGTGGGAAGGAACAAACAAAATGAGAAACTGACATCACTTATACGGAAGGGTTTTCACCGCCTAATAATGCCTTATTAATAGGTCCCCCTTTCCAGTAAGAGTTCCTGTGGTGATTTTACAGACGAGGATACTGTTGCAGTGGCTTTTGAGAAGTTTGGATGTGAAAAGCACTTCAGGTAGCATAGCAATTTTAGTAGAATTATCAAATTACTCTTTTTTTTTTCTCTGCAGACATTGAAGAGTGGAGGTGTTCAGGAGCAGTGGCTTACAGACTTACATTATTGCTTTAATGTGTATATCACTGGGCATCCTCAGGGGCCCAGTGTGTTGAATACAGTATATGAAAGAGGCACCATGGCACTTCCTGTTTAAAATTGTTTATTCACATCTAATTTTGAAGAGACTGATGTAAGAAATGTTTGTCATTAAAGCTGAACTTTTAAAGAAGTTGTTATGGACATTCTTTTGCACTAAGGTAGGAAAACAATGCAGGCTGGCTTCCTGGAGTAGCACGTGATATGTGGCAGTATATTTACATTTCATAGGAACCAAATATTTACAAAATACAGGGTGATAACATGGTACTGTCTACTATTTACCAAAAAATTAGCTCAATCTTTGAGATCCTCTCCAGGCAGACCTCATTCGTTTTGTTTGGGGGTGGTTACTCCTTTCCATGATGATGAGCTTCGCACTATGGTAGCTGTGGGCAAACTACGGCCCGCGGGCCGGATCCAGCCCGTTTGAAATGAATAAAACTAAAAAAAAAAAAAAGACCGTACCCTTTTATGTAATGATGTTTACTTTGAATTTATATTAGTTCACACAAACACTCCATCCATGCTTTTGTTCCGGCCCTCCCATCCAGTTTAAGAACCCATTGTGGCCCTCGAGTCAAAAAGTTTGCCCACCCCTGCACTATGGTGTTATTTGCAGAGGTTTTGTAGCCCTTAGTGCAGGGGGCAAGATTTCAAGATACAGTGGGGCCTTGACTTAAGAGTTTAATTCGTTCCCAGACCGAGCTCGTTAAGGAGCTCGTTAACTCAAATTACTCTTATCAACTCAATGCAAAAAATCAGTGGAGAGACAGCTGGTATCTCAAAAAACGGGACACTCCAAGGCCCCACTGTAGTTGTTTTGGGTTTTCCTATACCTAAATGGTGGTTGGTCTGAGGTAACTACTTTAAAAGTGACTTTCTAATGATTTTCTAAGAAAATATAGTTTTCTAGAAATTACCAGCTGTATTGTGATTTCTATATATATTGACTTTTCTAGTCACAAAATAATTAGCAAACTATAAAAAAAAATCAAGGGGATTACATTAATACTTTGTTGCTTCCTATTTCTTACTGTTAGGACAATGGTGACAGTAATCTTAAGAAAATGGAAGCAGTTCTAGAAGTATTTGTGAGCCTCCTATGTCACTCTTTATGTCTGTCTCCATTCCTACATTAGCTTTGCCCTTAAAAATGTGAAAAATCCCCAAATCACTAGATTTCGTTTAAACTAGGTGTTCTTAGAGAGCTAGAATGTGTGTAGTTAGCAGTTTCCCATCAATAGGAATGGCATTTTGATAAGATTGCTCACCTCTGCAGGTCAGGAAGAAAACACAAGTGGAATGTTAAGGCCCTAATTGGTACCTGGTGCATAAATGCCTGGTCTGTACACCTGCCCCGCTGATTTCCTTGGTGTTGGTGGTACCAGCATCTCTGTTCACAGAGGAAGTGGCAACAGCCTGTGGCCTTCAGAGGCTAACATGACTGTAAAATATGTAAGGAGTCAGCGGAGGTGAACAGAGCACCTATTGTGATCTTACAGATAATTTCTAAAAGCAAATGCTGGATCATGATTCTGGTCTAAAACTTAAAACTGATAATGGAATAATAGGATGTGGTATCTGTAATGAAATCTGTTGCATTAGATTCCAGAACAAGAGTGAAATGAAGGTGGTTGCTGTAGGACAGGCTCCTTGCCATCTCATTTAGGTTCTTCACTGAAGCCAGAAAACCAGGCCTGCACCAGCTGGCTGGCAGAAATCCCAACCCAGCAGCTCTCATGTTCTTAGTTTTACTTAGACTTGACAGAGTTATACATCCTCCTTTGTAGCCACACTGACAGGTGAAGGCAGACAGCTAGACAGTTTTGATGAGGCCTAGTGTACCCTGCTCTTCCCAGCGCAGGTTGAGATAATATCCAAACAATGCTGTGTGAGAGCAGAAAGAAATCATTCTGACATTTTCTTTCAGTTCTTATCACATGTTCAGGTAATAAGGCTTCAGGCATGGACGCTGAAGTTTTCCCAAGATGTAAGAGAGAGTCCACAGATAACTAGAACTCTACACTAGCTTATTCCAGTTACCCCGGGCACGGTCTTCCTCCATAGGCAGTCGAGGCTTTGTTTTGTATTTTGATTGAGTAGCTGATTGTAGGTTATAAGAAAAATTCTTTGATCTTCCACTGTTCTCAAGAAGGTGTATACACTGCAAGTTGCTCACTGTTAAATACAGGTAAATAGGTTATTTTAAAGTTGAAGGTAAGAAAAAAGGGTTTAGTTTTGGATTATACATGGTGCCAAAAAAGGTGATGGCCAGTGTGTCGTAGGGACAAGATGCTGTATCAGCCTTGCATTTTCCATCATCTCAAAGATACATGACATCTCTCAAGGAAGAACCGTGAGTGGGAAGGGCAGGTGTGAACCTAGGCCTTCAGTCGGCCTGGAATAACTGGTATATCTTTCTCTCTGTGCATCTCTCCACTATAACAATACAAACTTACACATACACATACATATCTTTTAACTCCATGTGCCACACACTTGGCTATAGTCCATTCTAGAAAATAGGTTTGAAAACTATTCAGATGAGACATAGCAAACTTGAAATGGATTTTTAGGCCTTTACAGTAGGTCCTTGGGTTACGTCGGCGATCTGTTCCTACAGTGCCACGTAACGCTATTTTCACTGTAAGTCGGAACCCACCTACATAAGCACCTACGTCACTGACATGGAGCACATACACAGCAGTATTGAAGTGAAACAGTAAAAAAAATTTTAAAGATAATTCCTGACCTTTACTTGTGGTAAATAAATAATAAAAAACATAAAGCACACATGTACATACGTCGAAATGATGGAACTTTTTTTAATATATACCTGTAAATGGGAGATGGCGATGTAACCACGAAACGATGTATGTCGAGTCCGTTGTAACCCGAGGACTGTCTATATATGACTTTGAAATTATAAAATTGTAGGACACCACAACTGGAAAAAGTAGTGGTGTACTCAACCCTCTCATTTACAGTTAGGGATATTGAGGCCCCAAATGGCTGAGAGGCCTTGCTGAGGCTATAATGCTATGTGCCCCTAACTTTCTGTGGAACAAAGCAAACATGAAAGGTGAATAGTTTTAAAAAGTGACACACACACGTCTTACTTTTTCTGTCCTGTTTGGATTGCTGTTGAACTACAGCTTTGGAACTCTGGCATGCTTTTTGTCTGCCTTTCCTGTCTAAAGTCTTGAGGTTTCATCTGTGTACCCTGCTGCAGGTGGGCAGGAATATTCTACATTCATTACTAATAATCACTTAAGCCATGGTTATTCTATTCAATGGAATGGGTTCTTTTAAGGGAGTTGTTTTATTTTTAAAGAGCTGGACCCCCAAATTTGGGAGAGCCTGTATTTGTACACACACACACACACACACACTCACGCACACACGCTGATTGTTACTATGTGTTATTCTTTGGGGGTGGTTTGCAGGGTTGGGTGTGGAAGACGAGAGAACAGGGATTGTTGAACTGTCTCCCTAACACATGTAGAGAAACAGCTTATGGGTGCTGTTACTTTTGCTCTATCCAGCTCACGTTCTGCTCCTATAAGAGGTTGGGAGCAACAGTTTTCACTCAAATATCTGAATACCTTCAGTGTGCCAAGCAATTTCTAAAGAAAACAACTGAGCAAAATCAGAAGATACTTAACCCGATGGAATCCTCAAGTAAAAAATGAACTATTTCTAGTAAAGGTTTGAAGACCAAAATTAATGATTTCTTCTTTTTGGTTCAATCTGATACCTGATTTCAAAGGCAGAACCATATATATGTTCAAGTCATACCTGTATCATGGAAATTTATAGACCTGTTTCCTGTATAAAACACAGGCTTCAGCTAAACTGTAGCCAGCAGCTCTGAGCATCTGCTGGTTAATGGTTGACAAGGGTGGGTGAGCCTAATAAAATCTTGTGTTGCCCAAGTTTAGGCTTAGGAAAAGATTCCCTTCAGTCCTTGTATATTTTTAAACCTGTCTGAATTATATGTATAGGGTAAACAAGCTGTTCATATGAAGTCCTAAGAAATCGTTATGCATTTCTTTACATTTCTTTATTCTGTTCTTTAACTGTGAGTCCTTTAAAAACCTTTTGTACTACTAAATACCTTCATTTTTAAAGATTTCTGATAGTACTGGATTTTTCTCTTGAGACATGTTTACCTAACTTATACTTCGCTGGTAGTTAAAGCTGACAGTTCTGTTTTGGAAACTATCCTTAATTCACTCCAGTATAACGAGTGGGGTTTTTGTGTGTGTGTGTGTGTGTGTGTGTGTGTGTGTGTGTGTGTGTGTGTGTGTGTTTTACATACAGCGACGATGGGCCTTAATTCCTTTGAAAGTTTCCAACTACCCCACCCATCATTCCCTGATCAGCCTGCCTATATTACATGAGTTGCCTGACTCTTCTTATTAAAGATTTGGCAGTAATTACTCTCCCCTTACCTCCAAGTTTTCCCTCCATCAAAAACTAAATGAATGTTAAAGTTCATGCTGACAGTCATTGTTCACCTTCCCAGCTGCACTCTGTCCTGCAGGATGACTGGATTGGGAGGATGGGGGCAGCGTGTTGACACAGCCACCCACGAGAAACACCGACCTGGCATTAACTGCTGACAGCACTGAACTTATCACCCAAACTTAATGCTGGTGTGAATGAAGGGGCCCTGAATAAAAATCCCCTGTTTTGCAGCTGAAAAGTTTCCTGAGCTGCTCCTGTGAGTGGAAGTGCACGGTTGAGCCTGAACTGGATATGCTATTAAATATTAATGTCTTCCTTGTGATGCTCTAAAAAGCAAAAGCCAGAATTTGTGGTTAAGGGCCTCTTTCCATCTTTAGGAAGGAGGTAGAGGAGCTTAATGTGAAACCAAAATGGAACAAAAACTCCCAAGGTATGACTGAAGAACAGCAGTATTTTCATTTCCTCCTTCCTTTATGTGAACGAGTAAGTAAAGGTGATCAATAGCAGCTACAGTTTATTTTTTCTACTGGAGGTAATTTTAACAATAGCTTTGGTTATAAAAATAACTTGCCTCCTACAGAGATAGAGGCTGACTGCAGTAATAATTCCAGGAAAGGGGGGGTGGGGTTAGAAAACATTTCTACTTGAAATCAAATGACCATTGGAAACCCCTGGCAATTAGTCTTCTGTCTTTGGGGATGAAACCAGAAAGGACAGTGCTTCCCCACAGTCTTCCCAATATACTTTGCCAGGGCAGTGGCTGCCTTACCTGAGTTGAGACGCAGCACAGAAAGGGCTTTTGAAGATTTTGTGGGATGATGTACTTTCACTTCCTGAGAGCAACCTGAAATCAATCAACAATGACAGTCTGTCTCTCCACAATGATAGCTGTGGCCTGACCAAGTTCTGAATTTCTTGAGCAAAGGCCTGAGCTTGCAAGCTAGTGTCCGTCTAACCCAGTGATGGCGAACCTTTTGAGCTTGGCGTGTCAGCATTTTGAAAAACCCTAACTTAACTCTGGTGCCGTGTCACATATAGAAATTTTTTGCTATTTGCAACCATAGTAAAACAAAGACTTATACTTTTGATATTTATTTTATATATTTAAATGCCATTTAACAAATCAACCAGAAAAATGAGTTCGCGTGTCACCTCTGACACGCGTGTCATAGGTTTGCCATCACTGGCCTAAGTTAAGTATGTTGTGGAATACCAGTAGGCAGGGGCAAGTTCTGAGATTTTGCTGCCTGAGCCAGAGATCTGTTAAAGGTGCTTTGGCTCAATTTTTTTTTCTTTTCCCTGTTGGGGAGCTAGTCAGTCTTGTTCTCTGCTGAGTTTATTTTGATGGGCTGTTTACAGATCTGAAAATGTTTTAATTTGCAGCAGTTCGTCTGCTAAACAAGTATTTACTGTAGGGCTTGGGTTTGGGACATTCCCAGGTAGGCAGCCCTGTACTTTCTTAAAGGAAAGGTCAAAGTGAGGCAGGCAGGTGCTTGGAGTCCTCCAAATTGGTAATGCAAGGGGAAGACCAAGTAGTGGCCTGAAGAGGTTACACTGGTAAGGCTGTAGTTACGAAACCCAGCAGAAGATCTTTTGGCTAGAAGGCTCTCTGGGCTTACATGCCAGAATGCCTCATCTCAAACCAATTCTGATCCAGAATTTCTGGAAGGGTGGCACTAAATGTGCTGAGATTCTCTTGTGACTGGAAATATAATAAAGTTTCTACCTGAATGGTGGTTTGCTCAATTCAATTAAGTCCCATTTCAGACTTCCTGTAAACTACAAAGTGCCTAGAAAGACAGTTACCGTAGATTTGCTTGAGCACTGAGTGCCTGGTGGACTTTGTGCCCGAGCTGCTCTTGGATGGATTCTTGGTGGTCTTGCTGACTACAGTGGCTTTTGAGGGTTTTAGTTCCAGTTCCTTCCTCCAAACCTGGAGGAGCAGTGCCATGCATTCTCGGTTCCATCTGTCCACATCTCTGGCTCCATGCTCCTTCATATGCAGAAGGTGGGACAGGTGCTTCCTGAGCTGGTAGCTGGTGGGACCAGAGAAGGGAGAGGCTTTAAGATCACAGTATGCAGAAAACTAAATTTCTTTAAGGCTCCTAGAAGCTATAGGAATAGTGATGGGAACTTGGGAGAGCTTTCAAGCTCTCATTCCTAATTTCAGTAGCAGTATGTAGAATGTTGCAATCTGCTTTTTCCCATTAAATAGTTCCTGAATTAGGACGCAATAAGATGAGTCCTTGCCTTCAAGATGAGACAGGCCAGAAGTACTGAGAGCAAGGAGCTGGATGGCATGAGACAGATGTGGGACGGATAATTGGTTTGGCTGTGGTGGGGTTTTAAAGGATGAGTAGGGACTAGTGAGAAAAGGGCATTCTAGGCAGAACTGGCATGAGCAGAGAGATACAAGCATTTGTACAGGAAGTCAGGAGATGTGTATGAAGCATTGTGTATTTAGTGAGGGAATGATATTGGAAGGTTGGGCTACATGGGAAAAAGCCAACATTTGTTCAGGACTGTTGTATACTAGGCACTCTCCCTATGATTAGGCCTGAAACTAAATTTGTGAGGCAGATGTTATGAGTCTGATAAAGGCTGAGTTGAGGTGACATTATCAAGATTGTGACATAGGTCATTCCTGACTTCATGCTCCCTCATCAAAAGAACAACTATTCATGGATAAGAGACCATGGAGAAAATCCTACAATACAGGATTTCTAGGACCTAGAGGCTGAAGAAACCCCCTGCACCACCGAGACCAAGACGGACCCCATTAAAAGGGTAAGAGGAGTGGCTACATGATGACAGCATTACCCTTTCCCCTGTTCAGTGCAGCATCATGCTGAGAGGCCTACCTTGAGCCTACAGCTCCTCCATTAGGAAAAGAGAAGCCAGAGCAGACATCCAGCTCCCTAGCATTGTGGGTTGCTTCTTGGGAGCCCCCATTCCAGTCTTTCCCCAAGAAGAGTGCAGGGGAATCTGTGACACGGAATAGGGGAGGGACTTAAAACAACCAGCACATGGATCTTTGCAGACTGAGTTCCTACCTACAGCATCCAAGTAGTAGTCCCAACCAGTGTCTTTGCTGATCTGAAGAGCCAAGATGTTGGTATAGTCCAGTGATGGCGAACCTTTTGAGCTTGGCATGTCAGCATTTTGAAAAACCCTAACTTAACTCTGGTGCCGTGTCACATATAGAATTTTTTTGATATTTGCAACCATAGTAAAACAAAGACTTATATTTTTGATATTTTATATATATATATAAATGCCATTTAACAAAGAAAAATCAACCAAAACAATGAGTTCACGTGTCACCTCTGACACTCGTGTCATAGGTTCTCCATCACTGGTATAGTCTGACCAGAGAACTCAGGATACAGGTCTAACTGACTCAGGCCCTTAAAGATTTGCTGGAACCTAGTTTGACCTCACCCAGGCAGTTATAGCTGCACTCACTGCTGATTATAGCTCCTGGCCCCTGCCTGATTAGAGATGGTGGTCAGACCACCTGGAAGCTGCATAGCCCAGCAACACTCAGAGTATGGCAGGCAGAGCTGATTATCTGCAGAGCAAGGCCAATAGCATCATTCCTCCAGGAACTTGGGGAGCAAGTCGGCTTGAATCAAGATCACAAACAAGCCCTGGCTGGTTTGGCTTAGTGGATAGAGCATCGGCCTGCAGACTGAAGGGTCCTGAGTTCGATTCTGGTCGGGGGCATGTGCCTGGGTTGCAGGCTCAGTCCCCAGTTGGAGGCGTGGAAGAGGCAGCCAATCAATGATTCTCTGTCATCATTGATGTTTCTTTCTCTCTCTCTCTCTGAAATCAATAAAAGTATTTAAAAAAAAAAAAAAAGGATCACAAACAAAGCCTTGCTGCCCTTGGAGATCAGTTCTCCCACTATGCCTGGGCAGGGGAGGTAATTTATAGCCTGGCCATTGCTGAATACAGCCTGCCCTACCAGAGCACAGAGGAATCTGCATAGCCCATCCAACAATCCTTACAGTGGTACGTGAGCAAACAGCACAGCCTGTGGCTTTCTCCCTCTGCAGACGAAGACCAGTGGCCATGGTTGGCCAGGGAATTCAGTGTACAGTCTTGCCTGATTTGAGTACCCAAACATTGAGCTGTGCAGGCCCCCAGGCCTGTTCTGCTTTCTTGCCAGGCAGAAAAGCTAATTCACTGCTAAATAGAGTACCCAGTCCCAACTGACTATAAGCCTGCCCAGAGAACCCATGCAATCACAGAACTCATCCTACAGCTTTGCTTGGGCAGGGAACCAAGCCAGCAGCCCTATCCAACTGTTCTTAGCTAACCTATGCCTCTCCTCCTCAGAACTTGGGCAGTGGCCCTGTCCAAAAAGAGACAGGAAGTTTCAACTGCCTAAGACCTTAACCAGCAGACATGTCCAGAAACTCAACTGAGCTGACTGGTGAAGAACTGTCTCTGTCAAAGCAAATCTGTAAAAGGAAACTGCTTACTCAAATGTGCAGATATCAACTTAAGTAATCAAGAATCAGGAAAAATCAGGTAAACATGACACCACCAAAAGAAACTATAAAAACTCCGATAATTGACCTTAAAGAAATGAAGATCTATTAACTGTCAGACAAAAAATGCAGAATAATCATATAAAAGAAGTTTAGTGAACTATAAGAACACATAGACAACTAAATGAAATTAGGAAGATAGGAAGACCAATGCATAAACCAAATGTAAAGAAATTCAACAAAGAAATAGAAACCACCAAAAAAGGCTTCAAACAAACCCTGACATAAAAAAATAGGACTGAACTGAAAAATTCAATAGAAAATTGAATTAAAATTGAAGAATTCGAAAGCAGACTTGACCATGCAGTCATCTAGAAGACAGGACATTTGAAATTATTATCCAGTCAGAAGAGAAAAAATAAAGAGTAAAAAGAATCCTGCAGGACTTATGGGACACAATGAAAGGAAATAATACTACATATGGGAATTCCAAAAGGAGAAGAGAAAGAGAAAGGAACAAAGTATTTAAAACAATAATGGCTGCAAACTTCCCAAACCTCAGAAGAGGAAAGGACTTCCCGATTTATGAGGCCCAAAGAACTTCAAATAGGTTGGACCAGAATAGGGCTACACTGAGACACATTATGATTAAATTGCCAAAAGTCGGAATTTTGAAAGCAGCAAGAAAAAAGACAGAAGTTATGTACAAGGGAACTTCCATAAGACTATTGGCAGATTTCTCAACAGAAACTTTTCAGAAACCAGAATGAGATGGTATATTTGAAGTATTGAATGGAAAAAAACTGTCAACCAAAAACTCTATACCTGGCAAAGCTGTCCTTCAGAAGTTAAGGAGAGATAAAGACTTTCCTGAATAAACAAGAGCTCAGGAGTTCATCCTCACTAGACCTGCCTTACAAAAATGCTAAAGGGAGATCCTTAAGTGGCAGTAAAAGGATGCTAAGTGATATCATAAAAATATAAGAAGGTAATGTAAAATTCACTGATTATAGTAAACACTGTCAAAGTTAAAAGTTAACAAATGTATGAAAATAACCATAACTACAATAATCTGTTATTGGATATACAATATAAAATATGTAAACTGTAATATCAATAACTTAAAATGTGAGTGGGGGAGTAAAAGTATAAAGTTTAGGAATGCTATCAAAGTTAAATTGTTATCAATTTAAAATAGGGTGTTATAATTTTAAGATATCTTATGTATGGTTCATGGTAACCACAAGGGAAAACCTGTACTTGTTACACAAAAGAACATAAAGAAATCAAAGCATACTGATACCAAAAAGGCATCAAAGCAAAACAAAAAAGGACAGCCCTGACCGGTTTGGCTCAGTGGATAGAGCGCCGGCCTGCGGACTGAAAGGTCCCGGGTTCGATTCCAGTCAAGGGCATGTACCTTGGTTGCAGGCACATTCCCAGTAGCGGGTGTGCAGGAGGCAGCTGATTGATGTTTCTCTCTCATCAATGTTTCTAACTATCTCTCTCCCTTCCTCTCTGTAAAAAATCAATAAAATATATTTTTAAAAAAAGGACAGAAGGATAAAAACAAAAAACAAAACAAGGAAAAACAAATCTCAAAGCAGCCGAAAACAATGAACAAAATGGCAATAATAAGTCCTTATCCATCAATTATTACCTTAAAAATAAATGGAATAATACTCTAGTCAAAAGACGCAGAATGGCTGAATGGATTAAAAACAAAACAAAAATGATCCAACAATATATTCCCTATAAGAGACAAACTTTAGCTTTGAAAACACACATAGGCAGAGTGAAGGGATGGAGAAAGATATTTCAAGCAAATCATAACCCCTCAAAAATTATCAGGTAGTTAGACTCAGATAAAGTCAGATAAAACAGACTTTTAAAATAGTAAAAAGACAAATAATGATAAAGAGGTCAATTCATCAAGAAGATACAACAATTTTAAATATGCACCCAACATCAGTGCCTCTAAGTATATAAAGCAAAACTAACAGAGTTAACAGAAAAAATAAACAGCAATATAGTAATAGCTGGGGACTTTAATGGTCTACACCAGCCGTGGGCAAACAATTCGGCCCGTTTGAAATGAATAAAACTAAAAAAAAAAAAAGACCGTACCCTTTAATGTAATGATGTTTACTTTGAATTTATATTAGTTCACACAAACACTCCATCCATGCTTTTGTTCCGGCCCTCCGGTCCAGTTTAAGAACCCATTGTGGCCCTCGAGTCAAAAAGTTTGCCCACCCCTGGTCTACACTCAACAATGGATCTATCATTCAGACACAGAATCAGTGGATTAGAACAACACTACAGACCAAATGGACCTAATAAATATACAGAACATTCTAGCTGACCATGGAAGTAGGCACATTCTCAAACACATATGGAACATTTCTTAGTATAGGCCATATGTTAGATCACAACAATCTTACCAAATTCAAGAAGACTAAAATCTTATCCAGTATCTTCTCTGACCATGATGGTATAAAACTAGAAACCAATAAAAGGCGGAAAACTGGAAAACTCAC